AGCACATAGATACAAAAGATTTATAAAGATATCCATAAAGCTTTCCCATGTCTCAACAAATAATACTTGCATAATTCGGCATAATGAAACATTTTGAGAGCAACTAATGAAAATTTTCACGTTCCTATCGTCTTTAACCATGCACAATCCTCCCAATTTCACCAAAACAAACTAGATCTTGAGATGTATTTGCTTCGTCGTGATAAATCGCTTTATTATATTATTTCAATACAATAGTTGATTGAAAAAAATTGTTGGATTGACAATATGGATGTAATGTGCATACCAGAGAATGTATGGTGGATGAGGAATGTTCTGAAAATCGAATTATGTTTCATGCATCCACTATTTATAGATATAGTTAGGATGTTGAAAGGGGAGGCATTTTATTGAGTGTGTCATATAGTGATAATATCCCTAATTTGATGAAGAGAACCCAACAAAATCAAAGTGACCCCCTCACACGAGGGGTGCAATGTAACGTGTAAATACACTAAACAGGGTCTAATAAAAGAATATAATGTGAAATTATCACTATCGAATAAGGGGTAGTTCAGCTATAATTAACTTTGATAATGTCAATTGTTGTCACTCATAATCGTTTAAAATTTAAGCAAAATCGATTTGAACATGCTGATTCTACTTCAATTAGATTATTTATTTATTTTAAATTTTTTGTTCACTCCTAACTTTAACTTTGTACCATGGAGGAGATTCTATCCTCTTGACACTGGTGAATCTTTTATCCATTTTCCTTAGGAATTGATAAAAGAATCAAAATCAATTCATAAACCTAAACCTTGTTGATCCTAATTGTTTTCAAAATACATTTACTCTCTCTTCTTTTTAATCACACATTCTTTAATAAATTAATATTAAAATTAAATTCAAAATATTTTATTATTTTTTAATCACACATTCTCCATTAATCTACCATTTCAAAATACATTCTTAGACAAAAAGAAAAGAAAAAGAGAGAGGCTCAAATAGGCTCTAAAATCAAAACCATTGATCTGAGTATGATTCAATTTCATCATTACATATGAAACCAAGAATTCCATTATAAGAGGACCCACTTGTACATATTACGATCAAAACTACCACACATCCAAATCTACTTTTACTTACACTTCTCAGTTTCCCTCTCGATTCTCCAATTGCGAGTTGCGACTAGATATTAATAATGACCCCCCAAGGATCTCTCCAGGAATATGCCCACTCAAAAAAAATCAATGGATTTTTAAGAATGATAGTTTATTAAAATTTCCCATCCCCACCCTTTCATATTTCTCTGTGTTGGTCGATTTCAATTATTTATTTGTTTCCAATTACCCACCATTACTTAAATCATTAACGGTCTAATTAATTGCTCGTGAATAAATTGAAAAATCATCAATTATATTTGAGTGAATTACCCAAATGATCATTGAATTTTACAAAAAAATTCTACAAGATCACTGAATTTTAATAATCATTCAATTAATCACTAAACTTTGTAAAAGGTTCCACAGAGTCACTGAACTCTAAAAATAGCACTATTCATCACTAAATTTTGCAAAAGATTTCCACGAGATCATTGAACTTTGCAAAAGGCTTTCCAAAGGTCACTAAATTTAGTGACCATTGGAAAATCTTTTGCAAAATTTAGTGATGAATTAGATGATTTTTAAAGTTCAATGATCCCATGGAAATCTTTTACAAAGTTCGGTGATGAATATAATGATTTTTAAAGTTCAGTGACCACGTGGAAACATTTTACAAAGTTCAATGACCATTTGTGTAATTCACTCAATTATATTCACCATTCATCGGAAACCCGAATGTCTTGCCACCTCAATAATCAGGGGCGGATTTTCTCTTAACTAACAGATTTGGGAAACTGAAACGGATATTTTACAAATTTATTACAATTTAATTTCCAAATCATGGTATATAATTTACAAGAATAATGTTATTTGTATGTAATGGAGCTATATAATAGTTTATATACAAATGAAATGTCTAAAAGAAATTGGGGATTTTTTATTTTTTTTATTTAGTTAAAAAAATTCTGACCCAATATAGTATCTCACCACATCATATATATGTAAATCATATGCAAACTATTAGATAAATATAACACAACCGAATTTACAAATATGTGTGATTACTAATTCGGCTTATGGTATAGCCAAACTCTCTCAACAATTTGATGAATTCAGTGAAAATTAATGGGAACAAATAATTTCTTCTAAGGCCATCTCCAACCCTGCACCAAATTTTACACCAAATCTTGTACCAAACTAAAATTCATCTCCAACCATTACACCAAAAATTACACCAAATGAACAGTATTTAACCATTTTCTTCCCTTTTTTTATTCTTTATAATCTGCTTATTTGAAATATTATTTATTTAATTATTTCATAAATACATAAATTACTAAATAAATAATTACGTTAAATTATGAAAAAGATTAAATTCATTAATAAATATAAAAAAACATAGAACAATTAATAAAAATACTACAACAACGAAAATATGAAATAATGCCATTAGAAAATAGTACAATGCATTTCGAATTTGGATAGACGATATTACGAAATCGCTAAATTTTTGCAATTTAATTCTCAAAATTCATATGTTCATCCCACAAATGATCGATTAATGCATTTCGAAGTGTAATGTGAATTTCTTTATCCTTGATTTGTCTATGATGAACAAGGAATTCCTGAAAATGGCAATTTTCATCTTCAACCAACTCAACTTCGTGTTAACTTTAATAAATAATCGTGTTTGATGTATTTTAAATTGTTTTCGTCTTTTAATTAATTAATTAATTATTATGTCTTACATTTAAAATTTATTTTAAACCCAAATAATATTAATATTAATTAAAAAAATTAATAATTTATTGTATTAAAAAATATATAGCACAAATTACATAAATACCCTCAACAAGTTTATTTGGGAAATGTTAAATAAGGGCAAAATGGACATTTTACACTTTGCACCATTTTGATGAAAAATGGTGCAAAGTTTGGTATTGAGTTGGAGCAATTTTGCACCAAAAAATGGTGCAATGGTGTTGTGGTTGGAGATGCCCTAAGAATGAATAATGGGGAAATCGGTCGTACAAAAAATAGCTTCGCGGGTAGTGAAGTTAACTGGGAACCACTAAAGTGGCTGAGTTTATGCTTTAGAGGGAGATAGTTCACGGGTTATTTTTGGTTGAGAAAAATAGAAAATTAATATAACGTTCAATGAACATTGATTTAATTAATTCAGTTATAATATATTTTTTAATTTATTTGATTTAATAATAATAATAATAATAATAATAATAATAATAATAATAATAATAATAATAATAATGCAAATCAAGAATTTTTTACATTTTAACTCATTTTCATTAAATTTTATAATATTATTTGTAGGTTGATTTTATAATTATAATGTTTCTACTTGCTCAATCAATTGTATTTTCTTCACACTTGACAGTTTAAAGCCATCATTTTATATTGCTATTATGCTATATTTAAGTGCATACTCCTCAATTTTATTCTATTATACATTTAGCGCTTGTTCGAGCCCAATTTTTGTCTAAAAATGTATTTTAAAATAGTAGATTGATTAAGAATGCGTGTTTAAAAAATAAGGAAAAATTTTGAGTTTACATATAATATTATTTTATTCAAAATTTTGTGTTGAAAAAAAAAATACATTTTGAAAATAATAATGATTGGATAAGGACTTAAAGTATTTCATTTGCCACCACATCCCTAATATTTTTAATTATTTATTAATTATTAAATGAAGTTATAGAAGTGTTTCACCTTATGAACTTAAATGAGTTTTACTACGTGTACAACAATTTTGTATACTAATTTAGACAGTCCTCTCAAATGGGGTGGTGGGGCTCACGACTTCTATGTGAGAGGACTGTCAACAATGGTGTATAAAAGTGCTGTACGCATAGTAAATTTTAACTAAAATATATAAATTTAACTACATTGATATTTTTAAAATTTAACAAAAATTTTGGATCCGCCTTTGGATTGAAATAAATTGAATGGAGTTTGATAATTAGTGAAATAACCGATTTGGATAGTTGCAATAGTTCATGAAATTAATTAATTTTTATTAGATTTGAATTTGAAATAAAATCGTCTTCAATGCCGACTTTTAACCCTTCGAAAAACGAGTTAATTAAATTCATGAAATTAATTAATTTTTATTATAATTAATTTTCGATATTAAACAAATTTTGAAGTGTTAATTATAATTAACATATGTCACTATATCATACTAGTATCTGAGCACAATCACATTCTTGATAAAGACGTGTTGTATGATATATCTTATATTTGCCATATGATTTTTTTCCAACATTGATAAATAAATTATTAAAATAACACATCAATGACTTTTTATTTTCTATGAAAGAAACATAACAGATGAATACATCTTCATCGAAAATACTAATTAATTAATTTTTATTAGATTTGAAATTGAAATGAATAGTCTTCAATGCCACTTTTAACCCTTCGAAAACCAAGTTAATAAAATAATGCTCATTAAACTTTATCTAATATTATATTTTACTCATCAAAATTAAAAAATTTAAAATAAAAAAGTTACTCACCAGTATTCAAAAAATATTACCCATCCATCTATAAATTTCATATGACTCCGTCAATGCCATGCACGATTATCATCCGTCTGCATAGATTTTTTTGTCCATGAGGACACATGAAATCGATATGAATGATGGATGAATAACTTTTTTTCAAATATGAGGGAGTAGTGAATAACTTTTTGAATCTGGTTGAGCATATAGTAATCTGAGATAGAATTGAATGAGCGTTAATTTAATTAACACGTAATTTTTGCAGAGGATGTATGTTTATTATTTGCCACTTTTTCCATGGCACGTCAAATTTTGAACATAAGTCAACGAGCACGCGCATTGAATAGACTGTATAGTCAGTGCTCCACGCACAAAGGCATAAAATCGTGAAGCACGACAAATTGTGGTGGGCACAGCACGAATCAAAATGAATAAAGAAGTTGTTGAACACCACCACCGACCACCCCATTCTCTGCTAGTCTGCTTCGCACATTGGCCAAGTATGCTCTGTCTGCCATTTGCCTCTTTCGGAAAAAAGTGTCTAGGAGATTAAGCTTAAACTTTCAAGAAAGAAGTTTCTTTAGCAAAAGGGTGTTTTCTCTGGGGATTCTTGCGCAGCCTGCATACTTAGATAAGGATTCATCTATTTAAACCAAAGGTTCGCTCTTTCTATGGGATTTTATTTTATAAAATATGTGGGTTTTATGATTCTATATAAGAACATTTGAAAGTCTTGATTACTGTCCTGAACAGGTTATTGCAAGATTCTAATTCTAAACAACTAGAAAAGGTTGTTTATTTTTATGATAGCTGGTAAAGCTGAGGAAAAATAACTTGAAAACATGTTTGATCATGCTCTTTTATAAAGCTATGAAAATATTGGCTTTGTTGAGGTTCACCATGCTAAAAACTTACCTGGGTGAGAAAAACATATTTTGTGATTAACCATCTATGTCTCAGCTGCAATTTGGATTATAACATATAGCAGTGTGGAATAAAAATAAGATTCTGCAATTGTGATTTGCGAATGAAAAGAAACTTTTCATATTTATAGCAGAGGCTGAGAGAGAATCCCAAGTTCCCAAGCATTAAATTTCTGTGATTAGATATTTTAGTCTTGAAGGTTTAGTTTGAAATGATGTGGGCTTTCACAGTGAAATTAGATATTTTAGTCTCAAAGGTTTAGTTTGAAATGATATCGGCTTATACAGTGCGTTTAATAGCCTTTTAGATTGGTTAAGGAGGGTTTGGGTTGGTGCGCCTACGGAGGTGATAGGAGTGGCCATGGAGCCAAGGCACCACTGCAGCCAAATAATTTGTCATAGTTTGAACTTTCCTGGTTTTCTTTACAAGACTTGTACCTAGTTAGTTTCATGTGTGCTCTCATTAACTTCTGCTCGCTGGTTTGTTGAATTTACATTAACTCCTTTCGTTGCATTTTTTTTGCAGGGTCTATAAATTAATCTCTACTTCCTATTTGGTAATTGAAAATGGGAGGGGTACTGGGCAAGGGTGACTCTCCAAAGGCTTCAGTACCAGAGACAAAGCTTGAGACTAAAATAACTGAGGCAATGCAGAGGAGAGAAACTGCAGGGAGTTCCCTGAAATCATTCGACTGCATTATCTTAAAATTTCCCAGAATTGATGAAAGCTTAAGAAAATGCAAAGCTACATTTGAGGAATTCGGTAGGTGATAATTTGAATCGTACATATTTGTAAGCTAATGACCAAGGGTCTTTGTGCTAGGTGTCAAGTTTGTAAGCAAAATATTCTGATTTTTTTCAACATATTTGTCCATCCCAAAGTTCATTATGTAGATATTTTAGTACTGATCAACGTGTTAAAAAAATTTAAAGCTATTTCCTTTCTAGAAAAGTATTTGTTCGTCTACGTTGTGCGATCACTCATTACCTTCAATCAATCTTCACCATCGCAACTCAACATTTGTATGGTGATTCCAGGTGCTGGATTTTCAATCTCTTCTATTTATCCCTTAATAAAAATGAAAAATATTTGTCTGTCTTTGCAGATGAGGATAGGAATGGTGCAATAGATCCACAAGAGCTGAAGAACTGCTTTCATAAGCTGGAGATTAATTTCACACACGAGGAAACAGATGATCTCTTTGAGGCATGTGATATTAATGAGGAAAAGGGAATGAAGTTCAATGAATTTATTGTTCTTCTTTGCCTTGTCTACCTTCTGAAGGATGATCCAACTGCCCTGCATGCTGTATCCTGAATACTGACTTAAAAATGAGTTGCATTGACTCAGTTGTGTTTAATTATGGTTCTGCATTTCATGTTTGGGGGTCATGTTACTTTTCATATGATATAGTGTCACATATCAATTGTGATAATTACTTGCACTTTGCACCAAAGGGAAAAAAATATCATCTAACCTTACGGACAGACTGAAACTATCTTATGCCGGTGTGTTCAAGCTTTACAACTGCTCTCTTTCTTCCTGTACACATGATATATCATTTGGAATTACAATGTGTATGTACATGCCTATTTCTTGATTAATAACTCCAATACCATAAATTTCTTTCTGAATTTATCTTTTTTGGCTGGTTTATCATCTTCAAGTGTGGTCAATATGATGTAGCCTATCTGTCTTCCGCTGCATATCTGTTGCTCAGGAAGCCAGTAAGTAAATCCTGTGTGGAGAAATATCTTTGCATTGTTTGTTTGTATTTTTTTATTTTATTTTAAACTAGGACTGGGCAAATCTCTCGAACCGAACCCGAACCCGAACCGAACCGAATCCGACGGTTCTTGTCAAATTAAATACCCGAATGGATATCTGAATTGAGAACCGACGGGTACGGTTCGGTTCGGTTCTTGGTTCTAGACCAAGAATCGAAGAACCGAATAAGAACCGAATCTTTCTAATTTTTTTTATATTGAGTAAATCAAATTATTTTATTTAGATTTGGTCAGTACTCTCTCTCTCTCTCATGCACACACTACACAATAATTGCAGTAACCGATATTCAGGAATAATAATCTTACAGGATTTTATCGAGTCAAATTCATTGAACATTTTTTCGGTTTGTCCTAATCGATTGAGTACCATTTGCACTTGAATACATGACAAATAACTTAAAGTTCATTGTTGATTATTGAGAAGCTGAGAAGTCAGAGGATCAAAACCTGCAGATTTTGTATCTGATATGATTATTTGGGAATCCTTTTTCATTCTGTTTGTGCAGAAGAGATGGACTGGGATAGAAATGGAATGGTGAACTTCAAGGAGTTTCTTTTCGCTTTTACTCGTTGGGTTGGAATTGAAGATATCGAGGATGAAGGGGAAGACAAGGTCTGATGTCAGGCTTTGTACCGAGTTCGTTTCTTTCCTGCCAAAAATTCAGAAGAGCCACCAACATAGCTTTTCAGAACTGCATCTAATTCTGTTTATGAATGCCAAACAACATGGCAGTTTATGTGAACACTGGATCCTGGTACCGTCCAAGGATTTGTTTTGTAAATACACTCTGCAGGACTACAAATGACATGAAATACAAAATATCTTGTATCAACTTTCAACAGAGTTCGTGAGCAGAATTCTGCTGAAAGCTAAGAAGCGCGGTTTTGAGGGTTATAACGATATGGATATATCGATACAGCTCTTTAACAAAATTTAGGGTGCGCAGATAATTGTGGGTATTATTTTTCGTATGTTAAATATTTAATTCAATATAATTTCATTATTATGAAAAAAAAAATTAAAAAAAAAGTCTAAAAATAAAACTTTTCTTCTTCACATGTTAAAAGGTATCTGACACGTATTGAAAATTAAAAATAAAACATCGGAGAGTGGCCAAATTTATTCATGCTTGAACACGTACCTGATATGAGGACGTAAAGATTTACAATTATTTGTGCTTCTTAACTCTTCAGTGAAAAACTATAAACAAAAGTGTAAAATTGTCTCGTGACATTTTGTCTTAGGCCTTCATGAAACCTTAGCAGCGTAGTTCCCAAAATTTCCTTTATAAAAAGTCATTACCGTTTCAGAGCCAAATGAAAATCCTTCTTTGTTCTTTTTTCGACCTCTTGCCTCTTGTATTTATTTTACCTTTCTTGAAGAGATATGTGCGGTTAAAGAATCACAACACGAGCATATTTCCTGCTACATAAAAATTAGCAGGAAGTGAGGGAGACGCAGAGAGTAGCTGTTTTGCTGTACTCAGTTTGGGTAAAAACTTAATAATAGCAATTCTAACCCATAATTTTAGCCTGAATTAGCATACAAATCAGACCTTTGTTCTCACAAATTCCCATCCCATCACAGAACAAGTTTGAACTGGCACACAACAACACTAGTAGGTACTGTTGTTAGCACCAGAGTTGAACATGTTACATGTATGAGCTCCAAAAACACAACCCATAGGACTGTTACACTCTAGTTTTTGCCCTCTTCATCCCAACGTTGTTGTGAAACAGAACCAGACATGGGTGAGTCTTCTTCTCGCAGAGTACCATTTAAAAGTATTGCAAGTTCCCTTAGCTGCGCTGCTGTTTATAAAAACCTTGAGACTGATCCTGGATTTTCGCACAAAGTATAAAAGAGAAGATAAATTCAGGCAAGAGATAACAGTGGGAGAATCATCAAGTAAAATGGGATACAGAAAAAAAGTAATGGCAATTTGGAATTCAATAGTTAACACTTGGCCTGAGCAAATCTTCTAGTATCTCAAATGCGTGCTTTTATCCTATGACCTATCTCAACTGGCAATTCCACCTCAACCAATATGTGGAGAGGGTCATTAAGGTGCTCATATCCTGGTTTCCTCTCAGCATCTCTTCCTTCAGATCAACATTATAAAAACACACCACTTTGGCAATTGCAACAAATTTAGCCAGGCAAAATATGTAAGAATAGTTATTAGAAAGAAAGTGATATGATAGTACTAACTGGAAGAAAAGGAACAGAAAGAATTATTATAAAACTTGGTATTGCTCTGCAGAGAATTATAGTATCAGGAACAAAGAAAATAAACTAGATTCTTCAGTTACTCAATTTGTGCCTGCCTCTGTACTCCCCTTCTTCCTCTATTTAAAACCTTCTCCTGACTAATTCTGCATAACCACTTTCCTCTGCAACAGAATGCAGTCCCCCCTTTCCCGCCAGCTGGTGAGTCATGCTTCTTTACTCTTGGAGAGTAAGTGAATTGGACGGGGGCTTATCGATACCTCCTGTTTCATAATGGAGTCTACTGATTCCCAAGCAGCCTCAGATGTGTGAAGGTCATTCCTATTAAGATTTGAGGTTTCATCTTAAAAGATCAATCTTGTTAAGAGGAGTAGTCCTATACCTTATAAATTCGTCTATATTTTATTTTTTTATTTGATGTGGGATTTGTTAGAAAACAACAAATCAAAGATGAAGAATGGAGGAGAAAGAGAGAAAACGAATCGTAGCAAAGAGAGAAAACGAATCGTAGCAGCCTCCAAACTTGGTTGCATAATGTAAGATTACAATGGTTTATATAGTGCAAAACTAAGGAAACATAATAAGACTAAACTACCCTTAACCTAATTAACTTATTACTTTAACATCCCCCTCAAACTCACGATGCTACGACAAGGAGCAACGAGAGTTTGACCAACAAAAAAGCGTAAATGATAAATCGAATTTGACTTCGTGGCAAAGTCTACAAACTGCAATGACGGAGAGCAACGAAAGGTAGGGAAATGATGCTGAACTGCAGATAACCAACGAAATCACACAATCTCTGCTAAACCAAACGGATGCAAATTTCAAATTCCAAGTGAACTTGACATATCAATTCCAAGAACTGACTATGCCAAATTCCGAACTCCAGATAGACTGGACAAACAACTGACCATGCCAAATTCCAAGCTCCAGATAGACTGGACAAACAAAATTTCTAATCCCATAAACTGGGCAAACAAACAAAATTTCCAAATCCCGTGAACTGGGCATCAAATGAAATTTTCAATCCCACGAACTGGGCACAAATTTCAAATTCAAGCTCGACAAATGCCAAATTCCAGATACACTGGATCAACACCAAAACAAATTTCCAACCCCATAAAATGGGCATACACCAAACCAAATTTTCAATTCACTCTTTTTTGTTTATTGAAAACCCAAAACATAATCTAACAACCCATTAGCCCAATAATCACTAACCCAGCAGGCCCAACACAAACTAACCAATATATATTAACCAAAACCCAAACTAAAATTCCAATGCCAACCTGGCCCATTCACCAATCTACAGCCCACAAATTTTGGCCCAATTACATCCAAAACCTGATCCAAATTTACAACAATTTTTTTGTCCAATTAAAACAACTGGCCCAACATAACAAATCCAAAAACCCACATACCGAACCCAATTGCATCTCCAGCAGTCCAGTACCCATCTACACGCTACAGCCCAATCCAATTACATCCAAAACCCTTCCCCTACAACGTCCATAAACCGAGCCAGAACCAGCCGCCGACCACACCATCACCACCTCCTTCAACCTTGTTTCTTCATCCTCCAAACCCTACAGCAACGCCGCCACCACAATCCCCCAATACACAACCCAGCGACGACAATAATCTGCAACATTAACCACCCTACTGCTAAACAAAACATCCACCATCGACTTCTTCAGTGTACATAACAGATTTAGTGTTCTTTGTCTCCAAATTGAGTGCTCCTTTTTCCTTCAACAACTTACCCAAAACAACCAAACACCGAATTCGGGAACTCCAAGGGTCGAACCCTGCTCAACGCTCAACATTCATATCCTCTGCTTCCTTGTGGTGTTGAAAAGATCGCGAAAATCAAGAAACCGAAGGGTCAGAATGAATGGACTGGAGTTTGCCGATTTTTTTGCCGGAATACGACTACTCACCGGAACAGGAACCAGAGAATTTAATACTTCTTCGTCATAATCAAACGTCGCCGTTTCTCAATCAGGTTACTCAGACGGAGTTGGAGAATTTGAACGATCGGCTACAGAATCTGAGGGTCCAGAGGGAGAACTATCAGATGCCAATGTCGAGACCGAACTTCATTCCCGGTTTGGACCCGGGCCAGGTACTGGATTTGAATTCGTACCCGAGGTTGTCAAAAAATGTGAATAAGAAGGCTTTCTGCAACGAATGTGGGAATGGGAAGAATGACGGAGGAGCGGCGTCGTTTCATCCATATGTAAATGACCCAATAATTACTCATTGTCGAACTCGGCTGCTCAACCCTCAACATTCATATCCTCTCTTACCTGAACCCAATGCCGCCTGCTGCGACCACCACATAGCCAGCCATGGAGGTATCTGCCATCTTCTTCACCACCGGACCTCCATGGCCACAACCCTTAAATCGGCAGACCAAAACATTTTAAACCACAGAAAAATGAAAAATCTGACCATCGGACGAGCGGCACAAGGCCGCTCGCCGGAGAACGACACCTTGCAAGTTTAACCCAAAATCAAATCCGCTCTGATACCATGTTAGAAAACAACAAATCAAAGATGAAAAATGGATGAGAAAGAGAGAACGAATTGTAGCAGCCTCCAAACTTGATTGCATAATGTAAGATTACAATGGTTTATATAGTGCAAAACTAAGAAAACATAATAAGACTAAACTACCCTTAACCTAATTAACTTATTACTTTAATAGGATTATATCCCTTAACGTACCCCCGTAATATGCTAACTCATTTGAGGAGATCAATCTTAAAATTTGTTTGCTCATGTTTTAGTCTTAATCTGATTGAATCACTCGTTGAA